GGCGCCTGGATGGCTCAGTCGTTAAGCGTCTGCCTTCGGCTCAGGTCATGATCCCGGGGTCCTGGGATCGAGCCCCGCATCGGGCTCCCTGCTCCGCAGGAGGCCTGGTTCTCCCTCTCCCACTTCCCTGCTTGTGTTCCCTCTCTCGCTGTGTCTCTCTCTGTCAAATAAATAAATAAAAATCTTAAAAAACACACACACACACAAAAACTGTGGTCCTGGGGCGCCTGGGTGGCTCAGTCGTTAAGCGTCTGCCTTTGGCTCAGGTCATGGTCCCGGGGTCCTGGGATCGAGCCCCGCATCGGGCTCCCTGCTCGGCGGGGGACCTGCTTCTCCCCCTCCCGCTCCCCCTGCTTGTGTTCCCTCTCTCGCTGGGTCTCTCTCTGTCAAACAAATAAATAAAAATCTTAAAAAAAAAAGTCACTAGGGGCACCTGGGTGGCTCAGGTAATGATCCCAGGGTCCTGGGATCGAGCCCCGCATCGGGCTCCCTGCTCGGCGGGGAGCCTGCTTCTCCCCCTCCCGCTCCCCCTGCTTGTGTTCCCTCTCTCCCTGGGTCTCTCTCTGTCAAATAAAAAAAAAAAAAGAGGCGCCCCCACTGGCCCCCAGGTTCCCTGCTCAAGGCCGCGGTGTCTCCACCTGCTTGAGCACCGGCTCTGTTCCCGTGCAGACTGGCCCAGCACACACCTGGAGCTGATTAATGTCTGGTGAACTGGACCCACCCTGCTGCGCCTCCTTGTGCCCAGGCCACATGGGGCTTCCAGAGGCGAGGGGCATCTGCAGGGGCCTCGAGGAGGGAGGCTCTTGACAAGTGGGAATGGGTGGGGAGGGCGTCCCGGGGAAAGCCTGAAGGCAGGAGCCTGCCGTGCTCCCGGGCCAGGCCCCAGTGGTGGAGGGTGTTTGGGGCCATCTGCTGCCAGCCCCTGTGGCTGGGCTTGAGTCCCCTTTGGGCCTCCCTGCCTTGGTTTCCCCAAACGTGAGAGGTGGTGGTGTGAGCAAAAGGGGGTGTCTGACTTCCTCTGCCGCCCGACCCCTCTCCCGGCTTCCCTGGAGTGACCAGCCTTTGCACGTGCTGCCCACTTGCCCTCGCATGCCCTCCCCCCCAGTTCTGACCCTTAGTCTCCCAGCTCACCCCTCGCCTCCCCTGGGCCCTCTTCCCCTCCCCCTCATGTGTGTGGGCCCTGCCAGTTGCATCACAAGCAGCCTTTCCACTCCACTCAGCATGGCTTGCTTGCCTCTCATCCCCTGCCATGGGCACGAGGGCCCGTCGAGGCCGCTGTCCCTTCCTGGGGCCTGGAGTGTTTGTGGATTCGCTGAGGGGCACGCACGGGTCCCAAGCAGAGGCCGGTGGGATGGTGACTCTCACCCCCAGGCCGTTTTGGATGGGCCCAACCCCTTCTGAGGCTGTCTCTTCACTCGGGAATCCGGGCCTGTGGGTAACGCCGGGGCGGGCACTGAGAAGGCCACGGAGATGCTCCAGCTGCTTCCATGGGGGGAGCTGGTGGAGGACCAAGTTCAAGGGACAGAGAGAGCGGTTCAGCCGCCGAAGCCTTGATGTTCCTTCTGGGCACCCTGCAGTCCGTGCCTGAGTCGGGACGGGCGCCAGAACCAAAGGTCGAGGAGGGGAGCAGCCACGGGGCCTGCGTGGAGGCCCATAGCCACGGCCAGCACCTCAGCGAGTGCCCAGACCTTGGCAGGGCCTTCTGCCCCTCCCCTCCAAAACAATAAGAAACGAAGTTAATTCCTGCTCCCTTTCCCTGGACCAGCACTGATCTAGAGGCCAAGAGTCCTCGTCGCCCCAGACAGAGTTTGGGTGAGTGGCTTTCAACCCGTTCCCAAGTCTGTAAGTGCCTCTAAGGTCTGACTTGAGTCTCTCCTGCTGCTGTTGGTTTTCAGTTCGATATTCCCCGACTGTCTACCGCTGGGAGGCCTGGTGTGAGGGGAAAGAGATGAGTTGGTCCCTTTCCTGCCCCTCGGAGGCGTTTAGACAAAGCCAGGACCAGTGGACGCTGACCTGTGTCTGTCACATCCCCTGGGGCCCCAGGGGGACTGGGATGGTGGAGGGGCTGGCTTGAAGAAACTGATGGGGCTGGAGGCCCCTGTCTCCCACCCCAGATGGCCCGGCAGATCCGCGGCAGATCAGTGTAGTGTGCTTTCTGCAAATCCCTGCATTAGCTCATGGGAATAAATCCTGCATTATCTGGGGTGTGGTGGGGACGGGGGCGGGACGAGGCTTTCTCTGGCTCCAGACCCAGCACGGAGGCTCGTGGGGTGGGTTAAGGACAGGGGACAAATCCATTTCCCCAGGGCCCACCTGATAGGAGGAAGGAAGCTCCATGGTCTATGGGAAGGAAGGGGAAGGAACCAGCTGTGGCTGAGGTCCCCCTCCTCTCTGTAGGGGCTTCCTGCCAGAA